GCTAAAAGGAAAATTTAGTGAAATTGCTTCAAGATCCAGGTACAGAAAAGGACCTTCTGAAAAGGACATCTAAAGTCTAGGAAATAAGCCCAGATGACAAACTTGGTCATGTAAAATCAAAAGGTTTCTACAATCTGCTACACACCTTTAAATCTTTGATATTACAACATATGACAAAAAAATTGAAAGCACAAATATCTGTACAAATGCATTCTTAACCAAAATACAAGAGGACTCATGTCCTCATTTCTTCAAAGTCATGTGGCCTCAGCTGGTATTTATAACTACCATCCTATACTACCCATTCTGTATTTCTTCTACCCTCTGCAAGTACCTCAGCAGGTGTCAGCCCATTTTCTGGAGGAGTGACCCATACATTCCTGATGGGTCTGTGCCCATTGTAGTCATGCATGGATTCAGTTTCTGCTAAACCCACGATCCATGGACTTACAGAATGCCTTATCATATCTGACCAAGGAACTTACTTGTCACAGCTAGGGGCATGTGACAATGGGCTCACGGTCACAGAGTCTACTAGTGTTACCATGTTCCCCACCATCATGAAGCAGCTGGCCTGATAGATGTAATTTTCTTTTGAAGCCACACTTACAGTGCCAGTTAGGTGGTGTCAGCATGGAGGCCTGGGGCAGTGTTCGCCAGAAGGCAATATATGCTTTGAATCTGTATCCAATATATGGATGGTTTCTCCCATAGCCAGGATCTAAGGATGGAAAGGGAATGGTTCCACTTGCTATCAATCACCACTAGTGATTTCACTAGGGAAATTTTTGCTTTCTATTCATGCAACCCTAAATTCTGCTGGTCTGTAAGTTTTGGTTCCAGAGTTGGGAGTGTTCCTGCCAGGAGCCACAACAAACATTCCATTGAACTGAAAGATCAGACTTCTCCATGGTTACTTTGGGCTTCTAATGCCCTTAATCCATCAGGCTAAGAAACGAATCACAGTGTTAGGAAGGGGTAACTGATCCAGATTACCGTGGGGAAATTTCATTGCTTCTCCATAATGGAGGTCAGAAAGATTATGTCTAGAGTACAGGAGATCATTTAGGGTATCTTTTGATGCTACCAGTTCCTGTGATTAAAGTCCATGGAAAGCTACAAAAGCTAGAGTGCTGCAGTCATCCTTCAGCATGCTGGCTCCAGAAATGGCACTGTTTTTAAATTCCTTGGCTAACATTATGACCTCACTGGTAAGAAGTCAAGCTAACCCATCTCAGATGACTCTGTTGGTGACTGTCATAACCACTTCTGGAGCTCTTACACTGGCATGAGCTTTACAGCCATCTGGACCTTATGGCACCCATGGGAGGTGGTGCGGAGCTCCTTGTAGTGGGGAGGAGAGACTGGTCATAAGGATTAGCAGAGACGTGATAGGATCTCAGGCTATTGAACTCTGCAATGCCTGACTTGCAGTAGTCTTTGAGAGTCTTTTAGGATAATTGTTACAGGCTGTGCATATCATTGTGTTAGGGTTTCAGAAGTCTGTCCAAAGGTGAAGGGGCAAGTTCTAAGAGGAGCCTACCTTTGCCCATAGCTTTAGAAAGGTCAAAAAATAAGATCTTACTAGCTGTCCACCCCGATAGGATATGCATAGTAGGCTACTGAGCTATAGTTACATCTCATCAAAATATTCCTAAGAATACATTAAGTGCTAAATTATCTTGGGTAAAACTGGTCTCTGGACCAGCCCCAAATTCCTGAATAATGGGACTGTGAGCTAAAGGTTAACTGCCCGAACGAACATCAAACTTTTATCTCTCCACTTCTGTAAGCAAGACCTGCTTTCTGTATATGTCACAATTGCAATTTTTTGCCCTTGAAAAAAAATCAAACCAACTGGGGTTCCATAATACTTTTCTTTTTCTTTTTTTTTTTTTTTGGTCTTTCGAGACAGGGTTTCTCTGTGTAGCCCTGGCTGTCCTGGAACTCACTCTGTAGACCAGGCTGGCCTCGAACTCAGAAATCTGCCTGTCTCTGCCTCCCAAGTGCTGGGATCAAAGGCATGTGCCACCACCACCCAGCCTCCATAATACTTTTCAATAATCTGCTTGGAGCAGTCCTGCCCAAGGTTAATAAAGACTCCATTCAACTTATTCAGGCCTTTTGGGAGCTGTTCTCTTCAGATACCCTATTACAGAAAGACAGAAGGACCCTTGCAAGTTATCTTCTGATCTCCACACCTGAACTGTAGAACACATCCACACATATAAAGGTAATAAAAAGATTAAAACACGGGGCTGGAGAGATGGCTCAGAGGTTAAGAGCACTGACTGTTCTTCCAGAGGTCCTGAGTTCAATTCCCAGCAACCACATGGTGGCTCACAACCATCTGTAATGGAATCCAATGTCCACTTCTAGTGTGTCTGAAGACAGCTACAGTGTACTCATATACATGAAATAAATAAAATAAATCTTAAAAAAAAAAAAAGTGATGTTTAAAAAAAAAAAAAAAGATTAAAACACAAAGTAACATTTGAAAGATTATTCAATTATACTGGTAATAGAGAAGTTTAAAGCAGTAAGACCCCATTTTTCTTCCATCATACTCAGAAACTGTCAAACATCATAAAAGGTGGCTCTAAAAAGCAGTGAGGAAAGTCACTCATGGTAATTCATGGGAACCACAGGGCAACATTTTTGACTGCAAAATGTAGTTGCATAATAATTTTAATTAAGAAAAAGGAAAACAGTTTGGAAAAACACAACAAACTATTAACTCCCTTGTTGACTATAGTTCCTAGGAGGGGAAAGCCACACAGCCACTCAACCCAGCCCTGAGTTAAAAATTGTACAAGGCAGATTCTACTGTGACAGTCAGTAGAGACCTGGAGTGCTGCTGCCTGGAGCTACATTCTCTTAGGCTATCCTTAGCCTACTTCATAGACATTCATTGCCCACTTCTATGTATAGCTTAGCATCTATCCTTGTGACTGTCCTTCAGGAATGTACAAACACAACACTAATTTCCACCAATCCCAAAGACTAAGAATGTCATCAGATGAAATCTAAGGCTAGCTGGGTGGTGGTGGTGCACGCCTTTAATCCCAGCACTTGGGAGGCAGAGGCAGGTCGATTTCTGAGTTCAAGGCCAGCCTGGTCTACAGAGTAAGTTCCAGGAAAGCCAGGGCTATAAGAGAAACCCTGTCTCAAAAAACCAAAAAAAGAAAGAAAGAAAGAAAGAAAGAAAGAAAGAAAGAAAGAAAGAAAGAAAGAAAGAAAGAAAGAAAGAAAGAAAGAAAGAAAGAAAGAAAGAAAGAAACCTAA